AGGAGGAGGACGAGGAGGAGGAGGGAGGAAGAATGGTCCTCACCAGGTAGACGGCGAGCTCGTCCCTGCAGTCGTCGAGCGAGGAGCTGTCTCGGCTCGCAGGACGCTCTGGCGCTCGCTTCCTGCCGCTGCTGGCCGCTCGCGCTCACGTGGCGAAGTAGACGAAGGTGAAGCGGCGAGACGACGTGAGAAACATCCCATGTGACCGCGTCAAGTTTGACTTAGTACTATAATATAAAAACGCATTTGAGTCGCAGCTGATGAGAAGTGAGCTCTGTGAAACTCTGCAGACGTCGAGCACCAGATGAGGGATTATTTCTGTGACTTGCGGTCCACAGGAAGTGGCTTTTACATTTAATGATGATGTGGTCACAACTCACACTGAACAGGTACATTCTATTTATCATCCTCATTTTCTACACACAACTGTGTTTATCGTTCGGTGATTAAACCCCAACATCGTAAGTGATCACACTAATAAAAGTTCAAATGTATTTGACATTTTTATTTACCCATCGCATGGGAGGGGGCGGGGCTTATGAGAAGTGACATCATCAGTGACGTCATTTTAAACGTGAAGTTCTGCTTCCTTTTGAAAACTACGTTGCTTCCTGAGTCGCGGCAGCGCTACGGTTTAACAACAGCAACAATTTAAAGTTGTACCATCCTCACCATGGCAACCGCCCGAGGTGGATGTCAGGTGACAATCACGAAAAACATTTCACTGCAGTATGCCTGGGCCGATCAAAGAGATGATCGATTATCGATCTGATGCGATCGAGACGTGGATCATATCAAACATGTGCAGAGAACTGACCAGCAGGGGGCAGAAGAAGCGCTGCAGACTGAGGAGACGCGCGCGCACAGGAGACGCACACACCCACACAACACAGGACCCACACAGACACACACACACACACACACACGAACACAACGCACACACACACTGATCAAAAATGTAATTGAAGATGTGAACACTTTCATTGGTGGAGCACGCAGCAAAAAGATAAATATATAGAAAAATAGAAGTTAGTAACATAAAGTTCTTCCTTAACTATGATGCCTTCTCTTCTTTTATATTTCTTTCTTCACTTTCTTTTTAAACAACAAGTGGTCAAAAGAAACAACAAATAGTTTCCACAAACACGTATATAACAATAAATAAAAGTATAGTGAGTTTCTGTTTTTAATCTGTTCCTCGACACTGTTTTACTTCCTACATCCTCGACCTAGTCTGGACTGCCGCACTGCAGGCTGCTAAATGTCAGGGGGGGCGTTCAGGAGGAGGAACATCGTCTCCTCTGCAGCATCAAAGCAGGCCTCCGAGCTGGAGTACCCACAATACCACAATCCTCTGGGGCGCGGTGCAGCTGTTTCTCTGATGCTACCGTAGATGGGAGGTAAACTGTGGACATGGAGGCTGATGTGACATCACATCTGGATGACCCACGATGAAAACTGACATCGAGTATCTACAGCGTCGCTCAGGGAGGCTCGTCTTCATGGGTGATCAGCACTCTACTGACGGGGACTTGAATGCTGGACGAGCGCGTCCATAAATGATCAGATTAAAATTGAACCATGGTGCCATGAGGCAGCGTAGGCCGGAGTGCTTTGAAGGCATCGTTGTGTTTCCTTTTCTTCGGGGTTTTATGACATCAATAAGATTTACGATTTACCTTTCTACATGTAGTGTTCCGCTGTGCCCCCCAACGCAACGTTGGCCGCGGTGCACAACCACCGCTTTGCATGCTGGGTAGGATGGCACGCCAGCGTCTTGGAGGCTGCTCGACCTTCCTTGACACACAGAAGCTCCAGATGGAAACTCCTCTCCACGGAGCACAGTGAACATTACAGACAGAAGAGAAGCTTGGTTTACGCTCACGAAAGGAGTCACGAACAACGTTCGAACTGTGAGGAATCACAACGGGAACAAGTGGTAACTGTGGGATGTGAACACAGACTGAAGGTGTAACCAGCACGAAGCCATTCACAAACCCAGTTGTGGTCATGTTGTTGTTGTTATTCAAAATAAAAAGCACAAGTTAGCGGTGACTGGAGGTAGTTACACACATAGATACACAATAACTGGTGAGTCAGATCCCCAGATGTGTCCCTCTGTGTGGCTGTGGACCATCATGTGTTGTTAACTGTTTGTTGGGACCAGGTGGCACGAGGACGAAGACCTGTGATTCTATTAATCCTGGTAATACTGTGAGTATTATCCTAGTAATACTGTGAGTATTATTCTATTAACACTGTGAGTATTATCCTGGTAATACTGTGAGTATTATTCTATCAATACTGTGAGTATTTTCCCAGCAATACTGTGAGTATTATCCTAGTAATACTGTGAGTACTGTTCTATCAATACTGTGAGTGTTATCCTGGTAATACTGTGAGTATTATTCTATCAATACTGTGAGTATTTTCCCAGTAATACTGTGAGTATTATCCTAGTAATACTGTGAGTATTATTCTATTAATACTGTGAGTATTATACTGTGAGTATTATTCTAGTAATACTGTGAGTATTATTCTATTAATACTGTGAGTATTATACTGTGAGTATTATTCTGGTAATACTGTGAGTATTATACTGTGAGTATTATTCTATTAATACTGTGAGTATTATACTGTGAGTATTATTCTGGTAATACTGTGAGTATTATACTGTGAGTATTATTCTAGTAATACTGTGAGTATTATTCTAGTAATACGGTGAGTGAAGGAGGCACAGTGGACGTGATGAAAGGAATAACCATGAAGACATGGTGTCATTATCAGAAGGAAGGACATGATGCAGAGACGCTTCTTATTACAGGCTGGAAATAAACGCAGCCAAATGACCCAGGTCACATGACCCAGGTCACGTGACTAAAACAAACCTTTAAAGTGTTTACTGCGAGCTCGGTTCCCGCCGCCTCAAACAATGGCTTCATGGAGCAGCAGCAGCGATGATGAGGAGGAGGAGGAAGAGGAGGTGGCTGTTCCTGGAATAAATGACGCTTGAAGCCAACGGGGGAAGTAAATATCGCCAACAGTGGTCTGATGACGCTGTTCAGGATTCAGGGGGGGGGGGGTGGGGGGCACCTCTCGCTCTATGCTCCGATTAAAGATGGAGGGATGAATAAAACATCCGCATGTACCCTGATTTGCAGTCAGAGTCCATATTGACACAGTGGGCAAAGTATTCCATCATCACCACAACTGAGATTTGGAACAAATTTTCCATCTCTGCTCTTTTTCTGGGAGGGGGGGTCGTCTTAGTATTAATTATATAGTAAATAGAATTTTCACTTTTGTCTGTAAATTTTTCATCTACTGTAGTTTGGAAAATAGAGAACTCGGGGGCTCCAAGGGACACGTTCAGGATACATGTAATCAGTATATAATCACATAATCAATAAACCTGACTGGATTATAGGCAGCGAGTGTAGTTCTGCAACCATGAGGTAAATGGATCGAAGCGCTGCTTCCAGTCACTGCAGACTGGACCGGGGTCATGTGACCTCTGTGGACGACCGATGGCCGAGTATCAGAACATGAGGTGTTTATCATACTGGGAAAAGACGCAGTAGTTTGTGAGCCACAGACGTCCCACTGAAATACTTCATCTGCTCTCTGAATTACTCCCTTGAGTAAGGGAGGGGGGGGGGGGGGGGGGGGCAGAAGGAGTTGGGTGGGACTCAGGAGACAACTGTTGAGGAGAGGATGGCAGCAGACGGTGATGGGGGGTGAGGAGGCGCTTGGGGTCCCTCACCTGTAGGTACAGTGTTGGGTGGAGGAGATACTCTCACTCTGCCTTCAGAGGAGCCAGAGGAGGACCATGAATCTTCAGCAGCGTGAACATTACCCCCCCCCCCCATGTCCACATGGAGCGCGCGTGGCTCGTTGAGATGATCGGAAGAAGATATTTGATATTACTCAGGTGAGAGAGGTCCACCCCCCCCACCCCCCTCCTCCACACACACGTTTGGTGCGTACAGGCTCACGCAGCGACTGACCCCCCCCCCCCCTCCACTGGAGACGCACCGGGGACCGGCCGGCAGGTAAAGCCTCACTGGAGGACTTCTTCTTCTGGCTGTGACCTCCAGACCGCCTGCTGCGCCTCACATTCCTCCGTTTTTTTTGGGGACCTTGCGTGGGGGGTCGTGAGGAGGAGGTTTGGGCGTGTGGGGGGGTCGGGACTCTCCTGTATGTCTGCTTCGATAATCTCCCTCCAAGATTCTGTTCAATTCTCACCTGCGACGACAAGGAGCCGCCACCCGGTGCCGCCCCGTTACCTCTCAGTCTCCGGGGACGGGGGGGTTTGGGGGGTTTGGGGGGGGGGGGGGCAGTGCGTCAACGGGCCCCGATGGAGAGATTAACCCCGCGCGCAACTTGGATACAGTTTCTGGGCTTCTCTCCCCTGCCGGAGAGCGGGATTTAAAGAGGGAAGTGCGCACGCGGGGGACACGTGGGTTCCCGGAGGGGCGCCGTCGGACCCGGTCCCGATGCGCGCGCGGATCGTCCCCTCCAGCCGCTTCAGTCTCCTCTCCGAGCGGAACCAGAAATGTGTGACGGGGAGTCGTCCGGCCCGGGGAGGCTGATCCCCGGGTGTTTGCTCCGGGTTTGAGAGGAGATCCCTCCGGGACCGGAAGCTCCGGAGTTCAGCGCGCTCACGGATTACCGCTTCTCCTCCTTCTCCTCCTTCTCCTCCTCCTGAAACACCGACGCGCTCTACTTCCATGTCTGAGAAGGTAAACGAACATGTTTCCATACACGTGTCGCTTTTCTTGTCCCGCTGGTTTGAAATGTCGCCGTCCGTCACGGCTCGTCCAGGGTCTCACTTCTCAGAAGCTTCTCTGGTCTCATTACGCGGCATCATCACGCCAACATTCAGCTGTCAGGTCCTCATTGTGCTGCTGCAGAATGGTCACGTGAGTGTCTTTGTGGCTTCCTGCCTCTGTTTGTTACTGAAGCAAAAAGTCATCTATAAAAGAAATAAATGATAAGATGCTTTTCAATGATGTGACGCCCCTGCAGGTCGATCCGAACGGGGTTTCTGTTTTCCCTTCACAGCTCTGGGTCAACAGGTCGAGACTCGCTCTCTCGCTCCGTTCTCTCTCTCCTCTTTTGGGGGCTTCGGTGTGCATCAACCCCCTGGTTGTTGTGGGTAAATATTTGCTCTGCCCGCTGTAGAGATCTTTCTGGAGGAAAGCGGGCAAACAGCCAACAGGCGGCGCTCTTTGTGCTGGTGAGGAGTCACCTGCTCCCCCTCAAAGAACCCACGAGGCACATTAATGACACCTTTAATATTTATACGGTGACAAGATGAACACAAGTGTATCTGATGGACAGCAGTCTTGGCTCGCACATGATAAATGAATGGATAATTAGAGGGTTAGATGGATGGATGAATGGGTAGAAGATAGATGGATGGATATTTAACAGAAGTATAGATGGATATACATGGATGCCATGGGTTTCAATAGATTGATGAGTAGATGATGCATAGATAGATGGATGTGTAGATGGACAGATGATAGGGCAGCAATGTAAAACGTCATGGCTTAACAAAAAATGCAACGTAAGTCGCTTTGGATAAAAGCGTCAGCTAAATGACCAGTAATGCAATGATAGATGGATTGATGGATGGATATATCAATGGATGGATGGGCAGATAAATGGATATTTAATAGATGGATGTGTAGATGGATGGATGATAGATGGATATGTAGGTAGATAAATGGATATTTAATAGATGGATGGATGATAGATGGATATGTAGGCAGATAAATGGATATTTAATAGATGGATGTGTAGATGGATGGATGATAGATGGATATGTAGGTAGATAAATGGATATTTAATAGATGGATGGATGATAGATGGATATGTAGGTAGATAAATGGATATTTAATAGATGGATGTGTAGATGGATGGATGATAGATGGATATGTAGGTAGATAAATGGATATTTAATAGATGGATGGATGATAGATGGATATGTAGGCAGATAAATGGATATTTAATAGATGGATGGATGATAGATGGATATGTAGGCAGATAAATGGATATTTAATAGATGGATGTGTAGATGGATGGATGATAGATGGATATGTAGGCAGATAAATGGATATTTAATAGATGTGTAGATAGTTGATGGATATACATGGATGGATAGATTGATGTGTTGTATGTGTAGATGGACGGATAACGTAGCTAACGTAACGTAGCTAACGTAATGTAGCTAATGTACCGTAGATACGTTAGCACAGTATAATAGCCAGTTGTACTGTGGCATCGTGCACATGTGACCAGCAGCTCCACTGGCCCTCATTCAGTGGTTCCAGATGTTCTTCATTACATATCTACTCACCGGTCACACCTGAAGGCTACAGAACGCCACATCTTTAACCTCTGAGGAGCTTTAGAGGAGCGAGAGAGGCCAGTTCATACAACCCAACTAATGAATAGGGGTGGGTATCGTTTGGCTTGGTTCTGATTAAAATGATACCGATGCCAAAATGGTGCCTGAACCGATCCTTTAAGAAAAGACACAGAATCAACCAATGACGACATTAAGGAAAGGTTTTCTTTTATTGGCAAAGGTAATTTCTTTCTTTGAATTGAGCAATATATTAACTATTGAAACAATACTGTAAATATAAATGAATACATAAACACTCTTGGTTTCAAAATACAGCTTCAAACTTTTTGACTTCAAACTATGAACAATATATGAAGTGTTTTTGTAGTTCAGTAGCCCTGCGTCGTCGTACCTGGGTGAGCTTCACTTCCTGCGTCGTCCCCTGGGATTATCTGCCGTGTCCCCGATTGTTTCCACACAGTCCCAGTGTATTTAGGCCAGGTGGGTTTATTGAGCTTCATATGTCGAGTGTCGTGTGGTGAGTTTTGCCCCCCAGGCCTTTTGATTTTGTGGAATAAAGCCGTTTTTGTTATTGAAATCTGCAATTGAGTCCTTCTGCCACGTCAACCCGTGATGCTCCGGGTTTGTCTGGTTTTACTGGCGTCATGACACAGAAGAGCCGCGTTCGGCACGAGAGCATATAGTTTATCTACCGTGTGACATCATTTCTATATTTAGTTAACGCTGTGCTGTGTAAAATGAAGACAAGACGAAGAGAATCAAAGGATCTCCTGTCGTTCGCGTGAGCTTCTCGGTATCTTCTGCTGTACCGAGGTACCTTCTGCACTATAAGAGACGACTTGAGTCTTTCTTCTCCAGAATTGAGTTTTATTCCCGTTTCTTATATTTGTGTGTGTGTGTGGAAACGTCGCCTTTAGCGCTGTTACACAAGCGTATTAAAGCAGGTGTTTGAGGGCCTCAGAGGCGCTGAGCTGCTGAGGGGAGTCAGGAAGTGTGACGGGGGGCTTCTTCAAGCTCGTGCAGGGAGGGGTCAACCTCCAAGACTACAGCCACTATCTGCTGACTCCACGACGAACAGGAGTTCAGCTCCGTCTTCTCTCATCCAACATCAGTTCCAAATACAAGGGATGTGGAGACCGGACGCTTCCATTTGCCAGCATTGCAAAGACCACCTGTAAGAAAAGAGACGGATCGTTCACAGATTTCTGCTTCTTTTAGATGGATTTTTATGGCAAATGGTGCCAGAAGAACGATATGTTGAGATGGAGGGTGTGTAAACGATAAAATAAACTTTTATTTAGTAATAAAATCCCCAAATGATGTGCCATGGTCCAGTTTAGTCAGCTCAAGTAATACTAATGATGACTAACAGCATCTGAAGAGTCCACCGAGGAAGTCTTCCTAAACCCCGGCAGGCTAAAGGTCACGTGGGCGCTGAGTTACTAATTCATCAGTCATTGGTGAACTCCGAGCAGATGATTTATTCAGGCGCAGCAGACAAAATAAAGCTTTTAGTTTTTCCACCTTTCTTGCGTCGTTGTCTCTGGACTGTGAGTTTCTTCCTCTCGTCCACGCGAGACTCGCTGGGATCAACACGTCCTCCGAACCGAGGCCCCCGGCACACACACACACACGCATGTAACATGTAAACAATGACAAACAAACGATAAACACACACACACACACACACACACACACACGTAATGGACTATTTGTCTCTGCCCAGCTGCTTAATCAGCTCTATTGATTGTGTGTGTGTGTGTGTGTGGATCACTGGTCAATGACGTGTCTCATGCATTCACACATGTTGCCTCACTGCGTAGTCGTAGAGGTTTTCTTCCATCTGATGCAACGCAACTGTAACACAACGCGACAAAAACACGACGCAACGCAACGAAAACCAAACACAACTCAACGTCTCGGCGACTCACAGAAGTGACCTGGTGGATCTTCATTGATTTCCATCTCTTCGACACATTTGGCTAGTGTGACTTTTCCTGATGGAGTAGAGACCTGTCAATCACGCTGTAGCCCCGCCCCCAAAGCACATTAAATCCACTAAAATGGGCGTTCCACTGTGTTGAAGAGGACTTAAACTAAACATTGAGGCCACACGCTTTTGTTTAGGGATTTCTAACCTGTCTTCATGTGAGACTTTCATCTGCAGGTCCTTTTCTAGATGAATCTTCTCCTGTTAGAGTCTGAAATGAGAATTTAACTTGAAGAACCACTTCCAGCCGTCGACTCGTTGTGTTGTTCACGTTTAATCAGCACGACTGCGTCCTCTGAGTGACCATCACGCAGGCGGCTTCCCAAATATCACATCCCCCCCCACCCCCCCCCATCCTCTCACATGTTCTCTCTCTCATATCTGTAATTAATCCTCGCTCGCCCACGTTCTCGTTCGCCACCAGCCTGCAATATCGCCGCCATTGTTTTCCGCTCCCACTTCAGTTTGAGGGAATGTGTGTGTGTGTGTGTGTGTGTGTGTCCACACCTGGCGGCTGATAATTGAAGCAAAGCAGCGAGCTAGGACAGAGGAAACGAGGCAGCGGCGAAGGGAAGGAGGCACCGGACAGTAGAGACACTCCGCTTGTTGGAGTCTCACCGCCTGAAGCTTCGGTTTCATTTTGCGTTGTTGTTTTTATCGGTTTCGTGTCATTTGTGTCCCTCATAGTCTATTTTGTTCCCGGTCACTTCTGCTCCTGGACCACGAAGCTGTCCGGTCAGAGGAACCGTCCCCCTGCAGCGGCTGGAAGACCACCGCCGTGGTCTAGAAACGGGACGGCGGGGCTGCGCGGCCCGTCCCGGCGGGCGCTTTCACGAGCGCGGCCACAAAGGGAAATAGGACTTTCTTCCCCTGAAGCCCAGTCGGCGTGACGGAACGACGGTTCCGTGAATGTCGGTGTTTATTCTGCGCCGTGTGGTTTAACGGCGTGAACGCAGCTCATGACACGTTATGAAGAAACGATTCGTTTCACTCAAGAAACAGTTATTTATTTCATTATCTTTTGAATTGTGTGTTTCTTTTGAAGGCAGGAAGGAAGTTTGACTTCGGCGACGGTGAAAATGAACATTGTTGACCCTCGTAGACCAGCTGCTATAAAGAAACCACAGATCTGTATCCGTCAATATTGATCAGCAATTCATAGCGAAAAGACCTGATCGGGGATCTAAAAGTTGAATACATAAAACCTCCACATGTCTCCATGTATCCAAGGGGGGGACATCGCATCTCATCTCATCTCATCTCATCTCATCTCTCGTCGGCTGATTCGCCTTCTGACAAACGTCCCCAAAGCCTCATCAATAAACGACGGTTTCAGGAGAGAAGTTACGCCGCGGAGCAGATTCCGTCCGGTGTTT